GAACGCTCTAACGAAAACAAATCGAACGGAAGTCGTAAAATTTGTGAAAGGAAAGATTTAGCCAACGATGAGACATAAGTAAACCAACGACGAAGCATTCGAATATTATACGAAATACTCGAATGCTGAAACAAAGACACATAGAATGAAAAAAATAAAATCTGCAAGAAGAAATTATTGTTAAATTATTTAAGAGAGTGGACAATGGCCACTGAATAGCCATTGATCTAGCCAACGATGATATAGAAATAAACCAACGACGAAGCATTCGAATATTGTACGAAATACTCGAATGCACAAACAATGAAACCTAGAATAAAAGAAATAGAATCTGAAAAAAGAAAGATAATTAAAACCTGAAACGAAAAGAAAGAATATTATACGAAATATTCGAATTCTCAAATAGAAATAAATAAAAACCAAGAAGAAATCTGAAAAAATAAAAAATTATTAAAATCTGTAAGAAAATAAAATAATTAGCACCTGAAAATAAAAATAAATTATTAATACCTGAAAACAAAAAAAAAATTAGTAAATGGTTTAATGGGGTGGGGTGAGGGTGGGGTGGTTAGCCCCAAGCTCACTTCGGACCCCCACCCCTCGCGCACTACGAAAATTTATATGTTACACTCGCGAAGTCGAACCGACAACTGACTTGACCTGCGTCGCGTCGCCCCTTATATAGCCGTCGATCGGCCGAGCCCCCCACTCCGATCGGAAATTTTCGATCTTCGCTGATTTTATTAATTATTAATTTTCCGCTCTTACAGCCAATAATTTATTAATTTTTTCACTTTCATTACAAATACACGTTGTGGAAAATTTGTTATTAACAATATTAATTTGTTATTAACAGTCAGTGCAATAATTTATACACTTTTTGCAAATTATTGATACATTGTAAACTTAAGTGCGTTGTAAGTTCAAGTAATAGTCAATAAATTATTAATTTTTTCACTTTTATTATAAACTTACGTTGTGCACAATTTGCTATTAACAATTTTAATTGGTTATTAATCATAAATTCGATAATTTATACATTTTTATAAATTATAACTATATTTGCACTTCCATAAGATAAATTTCCATCACACGTACATGTTTATCAAAATATTTTTATTTCCTCTGTATTTATGGCTAAAACAAAGTATTGCACACGTAAGTAAAAACATTGGTAGATCCATTCTTATCTTAAAAGCAAGTTGTGATCTTATTTTTTAACGAGCTTATATTAAAACCTCATTTTTATTTATATATCGAATAACGAAACTGTTTGAAATCATAAATAATTTAAAGAAATTTATTAGAACGATTTCAATTACGGATTCGTGTTCAAGAAAGTAAAGAATTATCTACAACAATCATCTAATAAATATTGTAAATTACAAAGAAGGTTATAACGTGTTGTACAGTGTAATTATATAAAATCTAAATCGTTTTCCAATTAAATGTTTGTCTTTTGTTGTTTCAGGTACTGTTTGGATACCCTGGAATTAAATCGAACAGCACGTGGATAATGAGCATCCTATAGCATTGTGAGTACAGCCTAAAGTATTTCCTCGAAAACGTTGAAAATGCGAATTTATACCTTTAATATTCTATTTAATTAGTCACTATCGTATTTTTGAATACGCTAGAGAGAAATATATCTAGCGAGAGAGATATTTCTATAAGATAGAGAAAATATGAGACTAATAAAAGGAAGCAAGTATACCAAAGATAACATAACCTCGATAGATAGTACTCAGATACGGAAAACATACATGGAAGCTTTCTTCGACTCATTGTCTTTGTCTCAATATACATCGCCAATAGGGATTATGTCATTACACGAGATAATGGCCTGCCATAATTCAGAACACGAGTTTAGAGGCTACATATTAATTTCGTCGAAAATGATTTAATCTCGGAAAAGGCAAAGTCAATCTTTTGAAAACTCTATCGCTTTATGAACCGCAGTATTGAATTTTACGTGCATGCCACAATTTGATACTAATTAAATTCCATAAAAAGTTATATTATTTCGCGAAAGTTATTTGAAAAGTGAGAGAAACGTGTTTGACGATGAAAAAGAGCGAACCGAACAAATTAAATTTGGCACATTTCAATGTCTATTAATTTCTTTAAATAGAAACTATAATGAAACAGAAACTTCGAAAAAGCAATCGTGGAAAAATAATTTATGAAAAATATTCCAACTTAGAAACGAACCTATAAGTATTATTAGAAAGATCGAGGTTATGAAATATTAAAAAGTTATAATTAAATCTACGAAAAGAACAAAGTTCTAAGGACTTTGAATTAACTTTGAACTTTGACTTAAAGACCCTCAGCAGCCATTTAATCAGATTCTAAAGATCGATGTTAATTAATATTTCAAATTCAAAATTACCCAACAATGCTTGGAATATCGAAATAAAATAATTCTACGTTTTAATTCGTAAACGATTTCTTATTTACCATATTTTAGGATATTTTTCAAAAATATCGTCGACTTTATGGCAGAAAGTCTTCGAGTTACTATTTTCCTGTAACGAAAAAATCGCCGAGTGCAAAGGGTTGAACGTAAAAATCGAATTAACAAAGATCACAAAACTGTAGGGATTAAGGTTATGAAACCTCGAAAAATTTTAATGGAATCTTCAAAAATTCGTATCTCGTGCATATTAATATATCAAATTTACAATTACCCAACGATGCGTGGAATATCGAAATAAAATAATTCTACGTCTTAAATTGCATACGATTTCTTATTTACAATTTTAGAAATATCGTCGATTTTATGGCAGAAAGTCTTCGAATTACTATTTTCCTGTAAGGAAAAAGTCCCCGAGTGCAAAGGGTTAACTTACTTTTCAAAATTGAAAAAGAATCTCAAAGAATAATAAATAAATTACGAGTATACGTAATAAAACATCTCCCGTTATCCGACTACATTTTTAGGTTATGTTCTGATTAGTTAGATCTGAACTGGAGACAGTGATCGCCGCCACTCGAGTAACATAATGTATGATAATATTTGAAGCGAAAAATATCACTGGTAACTTTACGTATTCGCAACCGAGTTATTTATCTGCTCGGAATAATTGAATTAAATAGCGTGGAGAAAGTTGCAACAAAGCGAACGTACGAAAGGGACTATGGGAACGCTGGAAAGCGATAGCAGCGCACGTGCGCGGCGCACGAGTGTAACGCGCGCGATTATACGATTTAAAATCAACGGTCAGCGTTTAACCGTTTTATCGGCTAACGATGACGAACAACGTTCGAGAATTATCGAAAACATGTTTTCGTTAGGAAGTTACAGGGAATTAATGTTTTGCAGTTCGGTATTGCGAGGAAAATGTTATTAAATAATGTCGTGCACGCGGTGTTCATGCAACCTTGCGTGATTTAACGGAAGTATTAGTATACTTTGAAAATTGTTCGGAGCATGATGTTATTGAATTCTGCTAAATTAACGTTCTACGCCACGATTTTATGGCCGGGTTAACGACGAACTATTATTAAAATGTTACACCGTTGCGTCGTTTTTTAAATTAAAATTTTTTTTCGTAATTGGAGGAATATTAAAAATAAATATTAATATGGGAATGAAATATGTGGAATATTAAATTGGTCGCACTTCGCAATGATTGGAAATAATGATAATTTAAACAAAAATTTAAGAGAAAAGAAAATTCGTTTGTATTAAAATTTCAAAAATTTATACGAAATATGCGTTACACTTTTTACAAATACTCTCTCGATTCTTTTGAAGAGGTTTTTATAATTGTCGTTCTTTTTAGTTTTAGGTTATATTTTCGTTCGTAGAATATGTAGATTTTGCTTTTAAAAGTGTTTTATTTTTCGAATTTCTAGATTTCTGTATTTTTTGCTGTCTTTTTCGTTTATTTTCCCAGGTTCTATTATTTTCATGTTTCTTTTCAACTCTGTAAACTGTCATTTGATAAAAATTACCAGAACCAGATGCTTTTCAGAGGCAACTTCATCGCATTTTCAACAAATTTTCTACGAAAAGATATCAGTAGTTTTAAAATTCCCCAGTTTGAGACCCCAAACTTGCTTCGAAGCAGGTTCCAAATATACAACCAAAAACTTTCTGCCCCCTCGACATTGAAATATCGAAATCCCATATTTCCAAATCATCTGACTTCCATTTTAAAACTTCCTTGCCCTCGATTTTCGATCTTTCGTATTTCCAATTCGGAGTTCCTAATTTTCCCCACTATCGACAAACCTGAGTATCTCCAATTGTCCCCTGCACATCGTGATTTTTCACGTTTCGAGACCATCCACTCGACCTAAAAATTCGAATACCAGAACAAGCTATGGTTGGAGAAAATTTCGCCATCTTCGACTCGTCGGAACGGAACGTCCCGATTCGAGTGTCGTATATACACAGAAGAGAGTGGGTATTCCTCTCAAGTGAATAATGGCCAATCGAATAGTCATAGGTCATAATAAAACGGGTAGCCGGTGGTGGCGCTGTTAGCGCCTCTTTAGCACACGTCACTGGGCTCTTTAAACTCCGCCATTAAGCAGCCATTTCGCGGTCGACGGTTCCGTTTCCAACGGCATCCTGCGCTGTTTATTTCATCAAACAGCCGGCGTGAGCTCGAAATGACTGATCGTGAGCAAAAATTCATTCACGTCAAAAACTCCATCACCAACGATAATCCGTGAAATAAATTCTCCAGTCGAGATTTCGAATACGCGTGGCATAATGAGATTCGATGCTGCCTGGCAGTGATTGCGGCGGGTTTTTAAGAGACAGTTTATTTCTCTATCGATAGATTACGAGTGTTTGGTGATCTTGGTCGACGGTGCTGCGAATGCATGGAGATTTAAATAGAGATCTTCAAGATCGGAGTTTGCTTTTCTTGGTGTCAAGAGTACCGTTCCTAAAGATCATGTGTTTCGCTGATACTGTCCATGTCGTAGATCTGCACGAGAGCAAGCTGCGTTTTCAAGTCAATAATTTCTAGGTGACTGATCGTATGGTGGATTTGCACGAAAGCAAGTTATGTTTTCAAGTTGCCAATTTTTAGGTGGCTAGCCTTATGGTAGATTTGCACGAAAGAAAATTGCGTTTTCAAGTTGACAATTTTTAGATGGTTGACCTTAAGGTGAATTTGCACGAAAGGAAGCTGTGTTTTCAAGCTGCCAATTTTTAGATGGCTGGCCTTATAGTGGATTTGCACGAAAGGAAGCTGCGTTTTCAAGTTAATAATTTTTATGTGACTGGTCTTAGGGTGAATTTGCATGAAAGGAAGCTACGTTTTCAAGTCAATAATTTTTAGGTAATTGATCTTATGGTGGATTTGCATGAAAGAAAATTGCTGTTCCAAGTTGACAATTTTTAGGTGGCTGACCTTAAGGTGAATTTGCGCGAAAGCAAATTGTATTTTCAAGTTGCTAATTTTTATGTGACTTATCTTAGGGTGAATTTGCATGAAAGAAAGCTACGTTTCAAGTTAGTAATTTTTAGGTAACTGATCTTATGGTGGATTTGCATGAAAGAAAATTGCTGTTCCAAGTTGACAATTTTTAGGTGGCTGACCTTAAGGTGAATTTGCACGAAAGCAAATTGTATTTTCAAGTTGCTAATTTTTAAGTGACTGGCCTTATGGTGGATTTGCACGAAAGGAAGCTGCGTTTTCAAGTTAATAACTTTTAGGTGGTTGATCTTATGGTGGATTTGCATGAAGGGACGATACACTTCATCGGTATTTTTTAAATTGCAAGATAGGAATTGCTCGAAGCAAAAGTAGAAGTTTATTAATCATTTTCTCTGCAGATTACAATCTAGTATTTTATCCGTGTCATTTATGTTAGATATCGAAATGGAAACATTCGAAATTTTCTAATTTACAGATACGAATTTTCCTCGGTCTGTGGGAATACATTGCCTGCTTCGTTTTATGCTTCACTGGAACTCGTTCGTTCTCGAGTTGCTTACAAATTGAAATTTTCCAGATATAATGAGCACGATAAATATCGTACGCGTTACTGTATAGCTGTACATGGTTTCGCAAATTTGGAACATTTGTTACAAAATTCCGTATTTAGTGGGCTTCAAATGATATTTATAACGATATATTTATTTCCACGTGTATTTGCACATGTTGTGCTGCTGAAATTACATACTTCTCGTTTCTCATATAAAATTCGAGCTTCTATAATGTTACATACCCATTTACCTGTATTTCGTAATTTCCGTTTTATTTATTTATCACCTCGCTATAACTCGATATCGAACAGTCTACTTATAGCAACTATTAGTTTCGAACTTTATGCCATGACTTTAAACCATAATCGATGGAAACTTCTTTACTCGTGGGCAAAGAAAATTCCTCTTAGAAAATATTAACTGAAAAATATAATACTTCCTTACTTTCTATATTATTTCCATAATTATTCACGTCCATTTAATCAATTACAATATTCCAATTTCGAAGTTACATTCTCAACTAACAATTAACAAAATTATATTCTCAATCAGGGATTAATTTATCATTTTAAACCTAGTATA